AAAAATAGAAAAAAAATTGCTAAGTTAAAAAATACCATGACCAACCCCCTCCCAAGCACTATGCTTTTTTCCCCTACATTGAGCACAATATTAACAATCAGATCTGTGATGGGGAAAAGTCTCCTCTCACAGGTCAAGCCAGTGCTTTTATTTTTTCTGCAGAGTAGAGGAGAAAGAGGCAACGGTTGCCTACTTTGACAGATCTGTGCACCTCTTTAAGTCTCAGTTGCTATACAGCCATTGCCATTCCTAGTAGTGTAGTGACACTTGCTCTTCCCTGGAAATAAAAATTACTTGACTGAGAATAAACATTTTGACCAAATAAAGCCTCAGGATTAATACAGGGCGCATGGGTGGAACACAGTGACCTATGTTATATGGGACTGAGTGATTTAACATCCTTTCTGGATAAACTCTGCTGAGAGATTTCATGTGTGCAAGTCCTGTAGGATCAGAGAAACTACTCCTGGGCTCTTCCTCCCTACCCTCTTCCCCTGACATGAGGTCAGCTTGTCCTCCCAGGCCTGGATCTCCCCACTGGGCCACAGCTGATGGCTCCAGAGACTCATCCAAAACCCTGTTTTCCCCTCTGTCTTTCTTCCTGGTTCATGTATCTTGTGTACTTGTGTACTGTCACACAAGTCAACTGCATGCTGGTTCCCTCACGAGTGTTGAGACACAGAAGGTATTGAGCATAATATTGTGCATTGCTTCTTTGCATATACAAAGCTACTTCTTTATGTGCAGCATCAGTTATTAGCAACACATGTTCAAATTGTGAATTCAAACTCAAGATCTTTAAATGTCATACATTTCTGCAAACACACCTTCATATAACACACTAAAGGCATGTGATCTACGCTTTAATTAGTCTTCTGGTGAATTACCGACATCTTGCTGCTTAGTCTACAGTCTAACCACTTACAAGCTACAATATTAAATTCCTAATTAGTTCAGTCACATAGCTACAATAATTAGACTTCCCGTTTTTACGTCTTCACAAATTGTTTGGATTACAGTTTAGAATACGATATTATTGCTCAGACGGGAAGCTGAGACATTAATATATGTATGGCAAGTGTTTCTGCTAATTTTAGGTTTCTACTTTCAGAATCAGCTTCAAAGACTTCTTAAAGAACAACTTTTATAGATGTCAGTGGCAGCCATGCGGTGGACACTGCCACATCAGGATGATCAAGGCAAAACCCCTAGAAAATCTGCCATATAATTATTATCCACTTATAAGCATTTAGAGCATTGCTGTCTGAGTCAAGAGGCAGGAATAGAAATCAGTTTTCCAGAGCAGAGTTCGGTTGCTTTAATCAAATGGCCATTCACATTTTATCTTAATTAATTAATTACAGCAAATGAAGATAGGGTCACAAAGCAGCATAATTCCCCATAAGTTTCTGATTCATTCTTTGAATGAAGGACACAAAGCATGAGTTTTTGTGGAGCTACAGCAAGAAGAAAATGCAGTATGGGTACATAGGACAAACTAAGATCATGTCTTTTGCCTCAATTCCTAAGCACTGGATTTACAAAATTAATAATGTTCACTAACATAGGTGACATCTCAGATTATTAAAAGAGAAAATCAGTTTTCCTCCAACATTTTATAGCAAGACACCATACTGCATCACTAGTTTAGATCCTTTAGGTCTCCAGACCTTCAGTTTATGAGAGGGTAGAGTGTTCTGAAAGCACTAATTACCAGTCTCTGAGTAGAGGTGTTATGCAGGAGGAGACATTTTGAAAGGAATCAGTAAGTCACAGGACAATCTTGAGCTTCCTTCTGGCTTTGTAACACGGTGCTCACCCTACCAAGCACAGCTGCTTTTTCTGCTCAGTCTCATCTTTTCCTTGTCCTGGCCACTTCACTCACTTCCATCCTTTCTTGCCTAATCACTACCTACTTCCCATTATCTTATCCCCTTCTGTCTGTATAGTGTTCTAGTTCTGATCTCACCATCCTCTGACTTCATTCTTCAAGTGCTCACTCCCCTCGCTCAGAACTCCTTTAATTAATTCACTGTTCCCTGCCGTCTCCCTCTCACACATCTCTTTCCTCAGTCTCTGCCCTCCCTGACTAATAGTCTTTCTGATTTCCATTTTCCCTTCTAAGTAGCATTAGCCTTTTCCCTCATCTCTCTGCTCCATTGCCCCATCTACCCATCCCTTTGGTCCCTCTTTTATTTTCCTTATTCAGTCCTTCCGAATACATTTTCACCTTCTCTGTCTTTTAGACACAACCAGTATGACTCCCTGATCCTCTCAGCTTCCTGCGCCTCCCCATCTGGAATCAGCCATTTCAAAGTCTGATTTGATGGCTTCAAAGTCTAGGACACTTGGCACCAACAGAAAACCCTTGCTGAGATGACTGATGGCACTTTCTCTGATGAGTGTCACACTGATCTCTAGCATCCAGTAACATCTATTAGAAGAGGTTATTTTTTGCTTTACTGCAACTAGGCTTGAACAGCCTCATCAGTTCTAGTGGGATGTCCTGTCAGAGGGCTGTCTCGCAGGCACAGTGATTTTGTAGAGGAACACTTTAAAAGTTCTTATTTGTTTGAGAAAAGGCATTGTTTAGTACAAGATTCCCCGAATCGTTCAACACAGGCAAAATACAATTCCTCACATTCTGGAAAAATGAAATTATTTTGATAAAATTTTGCTTGTCTTCTTGTTCAAGGTGTAAAAGATCCACATTGCACATAAAATTTCAGAGCAATAGGTTCAAGTCTGGTAGAGTTGCTATAAACAGTCAAGACAGGTTTTCAACTTAGGTAGACCCTGGTGCTGTTAACAGAGAGGAGAAAACATCCTTGCCCAAGCAGCAGTTGCAGGATCTAACTTTCAAAACTTTAGTTTAACATTGTGTAGACTTTTGCCTACCCTCTAACTGACATTAGAGTGAATTTTCCTCAGCAAATCTAATCTTCATCCCTGATTTTCTGTAAAGATACTAATTTTTGTGATAGACGTAAAAATATAGCTGGTCAGATTAATGCCCAAGTTAAGTGAAAGAAATAACCAAACATTATTATTACATAATGGTTATTTGAGCTTGTGCAAAGGCTGAAGTAATTTCACTTTTCTATTTAGAAATCTGGAAGGGATCTTAAATTATGTTACAAACTATGTAAACAGGAGCACTTTCCTGCACAATCATAAACTTGCACTTTTCCAAATAGTTTAGAATAGTCTCTTTCCCACATTTGACATAAAGCATTTGCTGTAAAAGATCTTGGCCTTGAAAACAGCAGTCACCCTCATGAAGCACCAAAACGACTAACAAGGTTCAGATGTTTTTAAGAAAGTTTTCCTAGGCATTTTAAAGTGAGGGTAAGGGAAGGAAAAATAACATATGAGAGGGAGAACATAAAGAAGAGGCTAAGGGAACTGCAGGTGCAAGCAGTAGGATTGGAAAACATCAGGTAGAGGCACAGAACAGAAAGGGTTAAAATAGTAAGAGTTGTAATTGTTTTTCACAAGGAGCCTGCCAAATCCCTTTTGGAACTCACTTTGAATACTTTTCGATACTAAGTTTCTTCTGTTTTGCTTAATGATTGATAAATGAATTGTTTGAGATTCTGTCACTTAGCCAAAGCCCAGGAAGATAAAACAGCTTTTGTCTCCAGAAAGCTAATCAAAGAAATGCTAAAGGCAAAACCATGCACTACAGTTGCTGCAGTAATTACAGCCGATTAGTTTACTAAGAGAAGACATGCGGCAGCAGGCAGGGCAATGCCAGCCACACACCTGAAGTGACCTGCTACCTTCACGAGGGGGGTGAGCCACCCGGGCAGAGTGTCATCCTTGCTACTTATTCAGTGCTGCCAGTTCCACGACTAGATTCTGAAATTTACTTTTCTCCATGTTGTAATCAAGGCTGTTGTGCTGACAAAGAACATGGTATAGGTGCTGCTTTGTTTTCAGAGAAACTCCCTACATGGAATACTATATTTCACATGGGAACTGCCTAAAGTTTTTCAAAAGATTTAACTAAGTTTTACAGCTATAAAAATAACTGTATGTGGAGCTCTGTTTACCAAACTCCTAGTGGGGAGCAATATGCCTTACTAATCATAAGCAGCACTGTATACACACAATCCCCAAAAGCTTTAATTTAAAAGCAGGAGAGAGAACGAGCTGTTGTTCAATACAGAAGGTGGCAGAATTCAACCCTATGCTTCTATTAGTTTAACAAAACAGTTGACATCGTAAAGAGTAGCTATTTTGTCTTCAATTAAAAAACCACTATCTTAATATTGACATTGTGCGACAGAAAGCAATTTATAACATAATAATTACAGCTAAAGAAAATGATAACCATTAGGAGCATTCAACATACAGATCAGTATCAGCAGCTTCACAGGCACAGCTCTATCAAGTCAAAAGCAGCATTTACAAATAAGGTACTCAAATGAAATGAGAAAAACATTACTAAAGTAAGCAGAATGTATGGTGTAACTCCCACCACTCTGAAGTGATTTGCACCTGAAGGGAAACTGAAATTTGTCTCCATTTTACATGCTATACTGCCTAACATACTGAAAATTCCTATTACCTGAACACAGTCTGTCCTTTGAGAACTACCAATTCCAGTAGCACTTGCACAGTATCATCTCAAACTGCTGAACTGAGTCTAAAATGTGGATTTTGTGACAACTGAGATGAGTCAGTTCTATATGTACCTTCATTAAATATTTACAGCAAGTATTTACACAATGTTTAAAATGTTTCTTATTTTTTAATTTCAGCTCATAACTATTAATAGTTACTCTCAAGGCATTAAATACAAAAATATCTGATTCTGCCATGCAGCTAGTAATCTTGAGGGACTGCATTACACTTTGATTCTATTGAAAAATAATTGCCATGAAACGTAAAATACACTGAGATATCATAGTTCTTTAAAAAAAATCCACTGCTGAAGTTTATCAGCTATCTGCTTTGCAATGCTCAAAACAAGAAAGAATGTCGGGTACACTTACCCCTGGTACCAATAAGCAAGAATACACAGAAGCAGCAGTTGGATGTCATATCTGTCCTTCAGCAATTCAATGAATAAAGTCAGTGAATGTTGTCCCTTAAACTGTGCACCAGCCAGAGTGTTGCTTGTATGGTCTGCTTCTGACAGCCTTCAGCAGTGCGTGAAGCAAGCTCCCTTCTCTCCCTGCTTGCCTTCCTCCCCTACTCTCCTTCACACTAGGTCTCTCTCTCTCTCTCCCCCTTCCCTGGCACACATGCACATGAAGATTTCCAGGATCACATTGGCTCCTCAGGCTCTGCCTTTACAGGATGGAGTCTGTTCTGCAGCAGGCAAAGTCTGTGCTGTATGCATGGACACGGGTCTGCTCCAAGGAAGGCGGCTGCTGCTGCTGCACAAAACACAGCCAGGTCCCAAGAATTGTCACCAATAGTCCAATTTCCCCCCCCCTTTTATTTTCTGAAGTTGCAATGCTGTGAGATGTCTGATAAGTACAGTTTTATTTAGTCAAATCTGTTTGAAACCAAATATTTGCTATAGTTTAGATAAAAACTAGAGGTTTTTCAACTAAGAGGAAGTAAAATTTATAAATACAGTCCCTTTGCAGCAAGCCAGTCACTCACTGAAATACAGAAAAATGCATGACGTAACTTATTTCCAAGACCAGCATGTCACTATTTTTGCACATTAAACCACTCTTTGTGACTAATGCTAAGGAAAACAATCTGAAAGAGCAAACAAGGGTGTTCAGAAACATATTCTTTATGAGAAAAAGTTTTTTTCACAGATTTTCTTCTTTGAATACATTAAGACCTTCCTATCCAACCCTTGATTTACTGTCACCAGTAGATCATGGTATGCACTATCACATGTACAGTCACACGGTTAAAATCTTTTTTATCATGTGAAGGCTAACACTCAGCAACACAGCAAAACATATTTCAAAACGAGTTGGTGAGTAAAGATGAACTCGAGATGAGAAGCTAAATTTTATGTGGCCTCAAAGAGTTTCAGACTTTTTAATTATTTTTTTTTTTTTTTAACAAAAAAGCCTGTTAGATTCAACAGTTTTCCAGGATGACAATTGTCAGAGAGCCCTGGTAACCTGTCAGCATCTATGTCAGGTGCCTGAGAAAAAGAGCCTCTCAGACTAAGGAAATATGTGCATGCATGAACACATGCACCAAACAGTGAATTTGGAGAATGGGAAAAATCTATATTATAGTCAAAATCAAAGTCCAGATTGTTGCTATGGCAAAGTTGTCTGTAAAATAGATATTATGAACTGCCAGTCTCTTGATTTCTACTATAAAAGATATATTCTATATATGATATATATATATATGATATCTGTATATGATATCTATATAATATATATATAAAACATATATAAAAGAGTGGGATAAAACAATGTTCTAGTCTATGGAATCCCCAAGAAGTACATTGACATCTACTGTACCAATACCAGTAATAGGCAATGTAGATGCAAAAATGGATCAGATGGATTAGCGACCTATAAAATGCTTCTTTACAGGGTGAGAACTAACTTTTGAGCATATCAAGTAAAAATCACACTCGTCTCAAACAACTGTTTAAAAGTTAAGCTAACTCCTAAATACTCGAGTGCTAATGCCTGAGCTGAAAAGTGCTTCCAGGGTGAGAAAATAGGGGAAGAAATTGAACCAAGAAAGTGAAGAATAAGCAAAATATATTTTCAAGGAAAAGTAAAATAAAAGCTTTACCTCCTTTTACAGGATGAGACAGACCTCATGTTCTAAAGAAAGGATTTTCTTTCTTGCATGCTTTCCACTGTGGCTTTCTGCTTCTGATCTAGTCACAACCATGTGTAGGAACCATACGTGTGTTTGGAAGAGATCATTTTTACCTGATAATATAATAGATCAAGCAAACTGCTTCTTCAAAAAGCAGTCTGAGCCTCTACAAAAGTTCAAGATTTTCTACCTTAGGGTAAACAGGGAAAACCTCCAAATGTGGTACATACCACTCACATATATTTTCTGTAGCTCTGCCCTAGTGGGAGTTGTCACTTTTCAGCCTTCCTCTTTTTCAAGGACCTTTATTTAGCAAGGATACTCATTAAAATTAATTTTGCTGTACACAAACACTCTCTCTATGGAAAATCTACTGAGACCTTCCTTCTAAATTTTTTATACTTTCATAATAACACATAAAGCAGCAGCAGTTTTCAGCTCGTTCTCTCAGTGTAATTACATTTAAACCAAGAAGCTAGAGTTACAAACTCACTCATTGCTGAACTGTGGAATACAGAGCAGAAAAAGGAGCAATTTTGAACAATGGTTTAAGCTTACACTACTTGAATGCAATTTTACTTGTTTCTAGAAGAAGCTTGTCTGTGTATTAGAAAGGCAATAAATACTTCTCACTAAAAAGTAAAAAGCTATGGCATGTTGGTGTTTTAGAACTCTCTTTTCAAGAAAGTAATAGGCTTTATATTCTGAGCCCATACATGGAAAAGAAATAAGAATTGTATCTATGTTTCAAACAACTTTGAGAAGATATTTGACTTCATTAGGTTGGTCAGTATTTTTTTGTATTTCTACTTACAGCAATTTTAAAATTGAAATTCAGTCTGAAGTGTATCTGAGCTATAGCACCCCCCCCAAACATTCAACAAACATCGTGCCACCACACCACAATCTAACAGAATACATTAAACTACAGTAATTTCACTTAACTCCAGTAATTGCTATTATGCTATTGAGAAGAGTCATCTCATGTTTCTATTACAAAGTGTTTGAAATCAAATTTAGTGATCAGGGCTTAGAATTAAATAGCTGTAATTATTAGGCACTTTCAAATAAGTTGCTAGTAAAGTTCTAGCACCTTTTACTCTTCTGTTGTTCACATCAGGTGCTACGTAGAAGGAAATTCATAGAAGTAAACAAACCATAGTTGCATGCATCACCATGGTGAGTGTCAATACTAAAAACAAATATACACTAAGCTGTAAATCTGCTACTGTAGAAAAAAATTAGAATTCCTTTTCAGCTTGAAGAAAAAGGTTTATTGATTCACAGGCTGCAGCCACTCCCCTGGAGGTTAACAAATATTGCTAAGGGTTGGACTCAATGATCCTTGTGAGTCCCTTCCAACTCAGAATGTTCTGTGATTTACCTCTGTACATCAAACTCTGACTTAACACTCAATGTTATAACTGATAAGTTTCAAATAGATGAAGGATAAAAGTTTTACTCTATACGGGACAGATAGGTGCATACAAACTCCACCCGTTACCATGTTTTTTTCAAGTACTGAGTAATCTGGATCTCAGATATACTTCTGCTCTTTCCTGTTGTGGCAGTTTTCCTTGGTTTAATTAAGAATAATTTCAAGCATGCTTTATGTCATGCATCAAAATGAAGACCCACAAGACAATAGGTATTTCAATGTTGATTTTATACCTAAGAATTGCTTATTAAGCAAAACAAATTTTCAGTTGAAAATACTGACTAGATTGTCAGCTGTTTTGCTGTTCTAATGAAATACAAGATATGCAGGATGAAGCACTGAAAGTAAAACTTGGCCCATGTTGCCATCTGCAGTCATGAAGATTATGTATTTTATATTTAGAAATGATAACTCAAGAAGTGAAGCACTTGTTTTCTCATCCTTTTGATGACCAAACTCCAGGTTTTGTATTATAGCCATATGAATAATTATTGTGCAAATGAACATATTTGGCTTAATTACATTTAATTTACACTGCTCTCAAAGCTCCGTCAGTATGCTTTGCAGACAGTGCAACTGAGAATAAGACATTCATATTTTACAGGACAACTCTTACCTTTGGAAGATATATTCCTTATTTAACATCTACATCCAGGTTCCCTGAGTCCATAGCAAAGCAAACTAAAGGACCTTTTAAGAGACCTTCACAAATGTCTAAGCACAGAATGAAAAGATCTCATTTACAGCAGCTCTTTCCAAAGTTTAAGCTGTGCTGCAGTACCTTTATCTATCTCATATACTTGTGTCTCAAACCGTACTTTAAAAATGTGCTATCTTTTGATAAAGATTACTCTTCCCCATTTCACAGTTGCAGAGATTTAATAGGATCTACCTCCCAAAACCTGAAGGGCCTAGGACACCCAACCTAATGGTCCAAGCTAACTCTCTAGGCACTTGGGCTGTAGGGCCTCCTGACTCCTCACTCCCCTCTCCAGACCCTTTTTATCTGCACAGCTGCAGCTGAGCTGGGATTACTTCCACCTGCGTTAGGAAAAAGGGGAGAAACTTTCCTCTGTTGGAAAAACTACCTGAGCTAGATGTTCCCTTCTGAAGGGCTTTATTTACAGGAACAGTACAGATTTTTTTTTTCTTACTATATATGTATATCCACCAAGAGTCTCAAGACAGAAACCAGTTCTGCCAACCTTATTTTAAGCTAAAGCAAATGTACAAAACTTGGCTCTAGTGACAGCTACCAGCTGCAGAGTGATTATATCTCCCTTGGTAGGTCTCAGGTTGTAGCTACAGAGGCGAACACAGAAAATTAGTTTAATTTTTCCACAGAAAAAAGGCAAACAGAGGGGGAGGGATTCATGGATGACTATTTGTCCCTTACATGTCTTTTGTGGTTTGTAGATGGGACGCTAGCTTGGCTGTAGACAATGGTGTGCAAGCAGCAGTGTCTAGCTGACTCTGAGCTCCTTGAAATAATTTCCTTTCCTCTGTAAAAGGTACTCTCTGTTGCTGAGTGCTTTGGTGACCCTATCTAGCTGTCCCAGACCTGGTGTGGAGGAAGGCCACAGTCAAAGCAAACTTGATCATCACCTCCCTCATTTTCTCCTGCTTTCTCCAGCTGTTTGTTCCAGCTGGATGTTTTGACTAAATCAAATAAAATCTCACTAGTGTGCCTGACTCAAAGCTGCTGCTAGTGTAGAAAGTACATTTCTTTCAAAATACCAAACATATAAGCTTTGCTAATGATATATTTTCCAAATCAGCCATTTCCAGCCTTTTAACTGATTAAAGAGTGTGACAGTATTTCTATGACTGTGTATAATCAACAGGCATCATGTTAATGGCTTTGTTAAGTTATTATATTGTTTGGGAATGTCATAGGAACTGTACACAACATCCTGCTTTTTCAGTGTGACTCTTTTTCCAAGTTATCCCTTTCTGTCATATATTAATAATATTTAATAATTACAACTTTTGTTTTACATCACCTAAGCTTCTAGGAGAAAAGGGACACCTAGACATTAATAGCTGAATATACAATAATGGTGGTATGAAGTTCATAGAATGTTCATGGCAATTTATTTACATATTTGAACATGAAACAGTACCAAACATATGAACATTGG